ATTGACGTTCGGTTTGTACCGAGACTAGTTGAGACTTACACAGCGGAAACGAGTACGAAGAGGGAGGCAACCTTAGCAATGGAGAACTGCATTTTGGCGGTGTTGAGAGTGGTTGGGTGGGATGGGTTTGGAGAAGGTAGTGACTGTAACGGAGTTGGTGGTGAAATGAATGAACTGAGTTGGTTCTGATTACTAGATCGGAACAAGAAAAGAATGTGGTGGGCGTGGATGGAGCTGGAAGTGAGATATCGTGATCCTGGGGCGGAGGCTCTGGTGGTTTATATCCACGGATGACTTCCACGTGCAGTACGAGTCAAGTGCCTACTTTGTGATAAACAACTGGACACCTCCATGCGCACACCCGTCGGATACTGCACATACCACAACCACGCGGATGACCAGGACGTGCCAAGTTCCAACGAGCGGTAAAGGTCATCCGACTGCTCAGTGCGCAGAGCGCGGTCTCCACCCGAACCGCCATTACGTCCGGCGACCCTTTCACCGAGTCCGACGACCCTGTGGCCTGTCCAGGGAGTTTGATCTTCATCTACTGCGGACGCGCCGGTGGATGCCATGTCACCTCTCGGCGCCCCTCCGGGCGGTGCTGGAAATCCCTTGATGGCATCGTGGGCTAGTCTCCTCGCTCCCGTTATCAAACTCTATGCGCGCCCTAAAGGGGAAGCTAAGCGTGAGGCGAGAAGCGAAGCAGGGCATCGTTCAGCCCTTTGGGGCTTCGGTGTTGGTGATTTCCAAGCTAGCTGGGCTGATGGAGGAGCATTCGCGTCTGATGGACCATGGTGGGCTTCCTGGTCCAGGGGTGGAAAGACGGGGTCAGCAGGGGGCCCGGGATTGCATGAGTAAATAATCTCTTGCCTCATTGGGGAGTGCAGGGGCATGGATGATGTCGCATGAAACGGTGAGCCGGGGCCGGAGTGAGGTTGTCATGACTCGGTAACCTTCCCGAAAGTCAATTGGGCAGAAACGACCTCAGAGCCGCAAAACTCCACGCTCTGCACACCTTGAGCTCCCTCCTTAGCCCGGATCTGGTTGGACGCTTCTCAATGTGAAACCGGGAGACCCCAGTGTTGCCTTGTTCGTGTTCGTGCTATTGAATGCCATCTGATATCCATCCGCGCCTCCCCCCACTGCCGGGACCGCACCGATCTCCGGTTTGCAGCTCTCGAGTCAGTGGAAAGTCGCACTGCAGTTGGGCCTGCCTCAGTCATAGTATGAAGCCGATATTATCTCTTCTCCCCATTAGGGAGTTGAATGACATTCCGCCCTGGAAAGCACCTGGCAAGCTGACCATGTCGATGTGATCACAAGTGCTTCTCCTGCACCGGCATCCCCGGACTTGCGCTTGGCTTGTGCTCGACTGTCTGTCGGCCGACTATCTTGCGCGCGGAAGTGCGCTTCACCGTCTATGCTGGGACAAGGGACATTGAGGCAGTGGAAACATTCGAGCGCAACGGCCAGGCTGCGGCTTGTCAAGCAACGAACAGACATCCGATAGTCTAAAGGTTCTCAGACTGGGGATGACCTTTCACAGCCGCCGCTCGAGATGCAACATGTCCCTGTTGTATAAAGACAGCCGACTCCCACCCACAGTCTCGGAATCACCACCTTGAAAGGCCAGTCCATTCTCCGTTACCATTCGTCCCCCACACTCTTTTCCCACATCAACCTTCACTCTTTACTTCTCAAAGACACTCCTTTGCAAGAGACCCATTTACACTCTTTTCAAACCCTCAAAAATGCGCTTCTCCATCATCGCCCTCTCCGCCATCCTCGGCGTTGCTGCCGCCGCCCCGGAGCCCGTCGCCCTCAACTACGATGACGTCGTCGTTGTTGGCGAGGATGACTCCTACACCGTCATGAAGGACTACGAGTACGAGGCCATCAAGGCCCGTGACCTCCAGATTGCCCCCAGAGCTCGCGTCGCCTCTGCCCCTGAGCCCAGCCTCAAGCGCCGCGGCTGCGAGGAATCCACCGAGTTCCAGATCCTCACCGACGACACCTTCCTCAACTGGGACGTCCCCATGTCTCCCGTCGTCAACTCTGTCGGCAACGACGTCGCTGTCTCTGTTGACAAGGGCTACTCCCTTGCTAACTCCGTCGGTGTCACTGCCGGCCTGTCCTACACCATCCCCAAGATCGCCCTCGGTGTCTCTCTCTCCGTCTCCTACACCAAGACCTGGACCTCCACCGAGTCTCAGAACCTTCGTTTCACTGTTCCCGAGGGACAGTTCGGTCTCGTCGTCTCCCAGCCCCAGGTCCGCCGCATCACGGGCAACATCCTCGAGGGCTGCACCGACTCCCCCAGCTACACTCCCTTCACCTCCGACACCTACACCGACCAGTCCTACGGCAACCTCAACTGGGTCAAGGGTGTCATCCGCCTTTGCAACAGCACCACCTACCCCGTCCCCTTCTGCATCGGCGAGGGTTCCCACAACTAAGCGCGTGCGCGTTAATCGATATGGACCGACGACATCGCCATTGAGAGCGCCTCGTAGACGAGACCTGGCGAGAGTCATGTTTGTGAACTTTGCGAACTTTGCGAGTAGCCATTACCCCTCAGGGACGTCTGGAACGGAAAGGAGCTTTAGAGGTCTCCTCTTACAACCCCCCGGGACACTGCCACACACGAGTTAATGTCAATACACTTTGTCCTCTTATACCACCCTCTGCATCTGTTATCACGCGAGTTATGTTTGTTTCCTGGTTTTGTGTACTGTTAGACTTTGGGGATAGAACTGGAGTAGACTAGCAACATGCTATGTTAAGATCAATTACTGCCTTTACACGCTTGAATGCCTACTTGAATTCAATGCTTATTTGATTATTCATGTATGCGATAAAATGTCTTCATCTGCATAGTCTCTTTTGATGTTGATCAAGTAAGCTTAATTGCCTTGCGTTGTATTGACTCATTCACACGAGACGTTGTCACAAGACACTTAGCCATTATTGAATGTGTTTGCACAGTCTTGAGTCAGATACCGCATTGCAACTGCCAGTCGGCTTGCAACCTCGCGGCCCGATGCCTTCACGACTTGCTGACTAGCCGACTCCATGTTGCATACCACCTCATGTGATTGCTGCCTCACCTGAATTCTTGTCCCCAGCTCATTTACGTATTCGGATGCGGGTTCTCGGATCCTTCAACTAATTGACGACTCATCATGCCTATCACCTCGTGCATTGTAGTTTATAATCGGTAGTCAACCCCGAGATCCAATATAAGTTAATTGAGTCAACACGCCTCGAACCTCCGCCAAGCCACCTTTCGACCACAAAGCTTGGTAACGGCGGTATCTGTAATATTATCCGTATGAGTTGTCCAGAAATCAGCCCCGCCAGTTCCAAACGTTCCCATATTCTGAACATGGTAATATTTGGGGCCAGTCGGAGCCGAATTCTTCAACTCAGGAGATCTCTGGCGAGTCAGTTTTGCGGGATGGCACGTCCCGAATGCAGCTGCTGAATGCTCACCTGATGCTCACTGCCCCTGTCAGTGTCACGAGAGTTTCGGCGAGCTTTCATAGACAATCGTGAATGCCCATGGACACCTCGGCGACGTCTAGGTTCTCTCGGCGACACGTGAAGAGGGTCGTCGTCAGCACCCTACAGCCCCGTTGGGCTGTGAAATATCAGTGACCACGTCGTGTGTCATCGATATTCAATTGCTGACCGACTCGCGGTCTCTCAAGGGTCGAGTGGATCCTTTTGGATGCCTCCGCGGCACTATTGTCGCCCAAACTTGGTACGCCCAATCTCCTGATTCCAAGTTTCGAAGCGCAACTAGCCTTCAACAACTAACAACCTCCGTTCATCCGTAACCTCACAGATATATAACCCTCGACACACCATTTTCGAACCACACTTACACAAATATTGGCCTTTTTGCTCGTTGAACGTTGAACGAAACTCAGCATGTGGAGCGTTCATGGACTCCCTCACGACGCTGAGTCAGTATGCAATTTGGATGAGGTCAGCACCGACCACTTTTGGAGCAGTGCAAGTATCCCACTCACGTGGGAAACAATCAACAGAGTTTACCGAAGAGCCCGCCTGCTCCATCACGGGAGATGTTGCACTGGAAGTTAAAATTGTGGCATTCTGTCAAGTTCACTCGACTCAGTCGAATGCAGGTGATCGGTTGAGATCCGTGATGGACCTTTCACACGTTTGTTTCCCCGGGCCCGCTCCCCGAGATCTTGACATATCTTCCGAAGGAGAGTTCCGCTGGACAACTCCGGAGCCCGGGCCACCGAAACACTTCGGCCGCGTTGCCCACCTTCCGATGTGATCAACACAACGTTCGCCCAATCGGGATGTCAACTTTCCCACTCTGTCCCGGCAACAAGAGTTGGCTTATCTGTTCAGTTGACTCATGCTTCATGCCGCTGAGGGAAAAATACGTGGTGTTGGTGAACTTCCTGCATCAATGTGTTGAAGCGGCTCTAATCAACTCAACTCTGAGACTCAAGACTGATGTACCATTTCTCGGTGAGCTACTCACTGCAATCGCGACCGCGTCATAAGGGATTTTTTTGGTCAAGCTAACGTGCAGTATAGGTCATGAACGTTGCAATCGATTGAGCGTACCAAAAGTTGAAGTGAGGTTGAAGACCAATTGAGGTTGAAGCGCTACACTCTTATCAAATGCAACCTCATCAGACGAACGCCCGCAGCCAAGGAACCCTGCAAGTCCAACTGTCGGTGCAAACTCAATCTAGGGTTTCCTTGGCATATATTCCGATCCCAAAGATCTGGATTTAAGTTGCGATTGTTTCAAATTCGTAGTGGTGTGGTCGATCGGTAACTTTCTTCAACACACGACTCAATCACTGCTGAAGGTTCACTGGGGGGCCCATGCCAAGAGGTTAAGAGAAAACAACTTAAGTTCTTTGACGTGAAAAGAAGCAAAACAAAGCCCGATGGCATTTCTTGGCCGTCTTGGCATAGCAGATCGCATTAATGCCCGCTCGAACTATTTAAGAGATGGAGACATTGAACTTTTGGCTGTCAGCTACGCGAATGTTACTTTTGACGAAAGCGATACGCACCTGCTACCGTCCACCGCTCCGAAAACAGTATCAAAGCTTCCATAGCCAATTGCAGAGTCGTGTCTGCGCCATCGGCAACATCGCCCTCGCGGACAAACCACTGGCATTCGGTCGCAATGTCGTACAGCACTTGGATCACAAGTGGGCTCAGACTATTGACGTCAATTGCCGCCTGCTGAATGACAAAGGTCGCGATCATTGGGCCGCGTGCTGATATGATTTGCTTCAACCCGCGTATCGAAGCATTTTGCATGTCGCTTTCTTCCGGTAGTCTCTCCCCTCTGGCGCCGGGTTGGATGCATGCATAGCCATGATACAAGGTCAGCCGTGCGACTGTACAAAGAGCTAGGTCGACAATTGCCGATCCGCCGTCCGTTGACTGAGAAAGGTGAGAATCGAGAGCGCCCAGCGTTGCCTCCAGCTGGAGTGCCTGATCCAGAGTTTCCTTCTGAATCACGGAGTCTTTTCGAGAGTTTCTATGCGCAAGCACTCGACCGAGTATATGGGAGGCCTGGCAAGTTCGTGCAAAAGGACCAATCTCCGAGTTGGTTGAGAAGCCTGTCGTGTAAAGCGGTTGGCTTGTTCCTATTGACCCGCGAAACCATTCCGTGTCCGATATAGGCAGTAATTCGCCTTGGACGGGCTCAGGGGTAGCTAGAGGAAATCCTGTAGGGCCAAGGTTCATGTAACTATGACAAGTTAGTTGCCTATGATTGTTTGTCTCTGCTCTGTGAAAGCCGTGCGGCTACGTGATTGCTCGTTGTACATACCGCTCCAAGATGGAAGTCGCCCACCATGTCCTCCGCTCCTCTTCCCAATGAGTCCAAGTTGGTGGAGTTTGGAAGAGTTGCGTGGCATTATTACGATCATGCACCCCTCTCAAAAGGCCGAGCCTTGCAGCAAGACTAATCGTAAGGTAAGCGGTGGGACATATGCCGTGGCCAATCTCGTAGAGAGCTATGAGCACGAGAGACTGGAAAAGACGCATAGACGTCGGAATGATGACTTCCAATGCATTTGCAAATCTCCGAGCGGCTTGATAGGTGGGTGATTCAGCAGCGGATTGATTCATATTATCAGCCGGGGTAGATCCCGATACAAGTTTCATGCAGAGCAGGAGTAGGGCCAATTCTGCCGAGACACCCGCTTCTAGGTCTTGCCTCACCCTCTTTCTACTGACGAATGGAAGCCAGAGGTCGATAGAGCCGAAGTACGATTCACAGATAGCCATCATGTCGGGACCAAGAAGCTCGGAGATGTAAGGGGGCACTTCCGATGTGCATCTCAAGGCGTCGTGAGAGATTGGCTGGAATAAATCTGCATCGAGGAAGAATGCTGCCGGAAATTCGGAAGCAGATGGAGCTACAAAGGTTGAAACTTCAGATGCCAAGGTTGGTGTTGACATTGAAGTGAAGTGCATATCCTCCAAATCTTCCTGCGGCGAGCCATAGGCCTTGCGTCCTGCTGGATACTGACATTTCTTGCCCAGCCGAACGCACTTCAAGCAAGTATCATCAGCATCGACAATAGCTAATGAACGGCGTCAAAGACATACTAGAGCACAGGAGGGAAGATCTTTCGGGCACTTCCTCTTGAGGCGCCTGGGCAGAAGTTAGGCATCCTTGGATGGCTCATCTTGCAGCCTTGTGAAAATTTACCTGCATTGACGGCATGATTGAGGTGCCCGTTCTGTAGGGCCATCCGAACGGACGTTCGTTTCTGAAAGGGAAGATGACATAGTTGCGACAGGGGGGAAAGAGGAATTCACCGGTAGGCAGTACGGCTTGCCCTCCTGGGCTTAGGGATTGGAGTGAAGTGAAGGTGTTGTGCGAGGTCCGCTGCTACGTCCGCTCATGCTTTTGGCACCACTTATGAGATGAACGAGACAAGCATCGGGCAAACTCTTCCGCTTCACGTCAAACGGCCATAACGAATGCGGGATAATGAGAGAGCGAGCTTTGCGAAACCTCAGTCTGACATGCAGAAAAAGCGGCCGTCGCCGGACCGCCAACCACGTGTGACATCTCTATCGGCGCAACCTAAAAGCCGCTGGGTTGCCTCCACTATTTCTGTGCTGCCTGCTTCTTAAAGGCGCATTCTGCGGTGCCTGAATCGGACATAAGCTCAAAAGTCCCTTGAAGGATCAGGACTAGCGACGCCTCCCAGGCTCGTTCCGCTAAGCCCTGTCGATTGCCCCATCCAAGCAAGTTGGAGCGGACAATTGGAGTTCCTGAGCGGACAATTCAGTGCGCCCTTGGCTGGAGAAACGCCGCTTTCCCCGCATTCTTGGGCGGACAGTGTGAGCGCATCACGGCGGCGTGGCATCGACTACGGCCATGAGCGGGCAATTGGGAATGTTGAGTACGGCATATCCAGCATTCGCAACATGTAATTGTTTGAATACAATGGTACCTACGGAAGGAGCACAAGGGCACTTTCAACATATATAATGAGCTTGCGTTCTCTGCTTCATGCCTTGAAAATCACATCATCATCACACTTTTCACACACCCACATAGCCAGGATCTCTTGCGATAATTAAATTCCACCCGATATCATCAAGAAATTCACCACGTCTAATATCGAAACTCACATCACAAGCATTTCACAATGGACGCCTTCCATCCCTACGCTGATCTCTTCGCCAACCCCAAGGGCCCCGGAGATGCTCGCCCCACTGCTCTTCAAGTCATTGAGGACAGCAAGCTCGGCAACGAATGGACGGACCGAGTCGTCCTGATTACCGGAGGCACTTCCGGTATCGGGCTTGAGACCGCTCGTGCGATCCACACTGCCGGCGCCGATGTCTACATCACCGCTCGAAACTCCGCGAAGGCCAAGGGTGTCGTAGAAGACATCACCAAGTCTTCCAAAGGCAGTGGAAAGCTAGAAGTCATTGACATGGACTTGAGCTCCCTCGAATCTGTCAAGAAGGCCGCTCAGGATTTCTTGGCCAAGTCAACAAAGCTCAATGTGCTCATTAGCAACGCTGGTAGGTCGCAATACCGTAACTCACCATCAGTGTAGAGATAAACTAATTATTCGCGTAGGTATCATGGCCCTCGCTGAGCCAACCAAGACCAAGGATGGTTTCGACGAACAGTTCGGCGTTAACCACTTGGCTCACTTCACCTTAACCACCCTGCTCCTCCCGACGCTCATGAACAGCAGCACCCCTCAGTTCAACTCCCGCGTTGTGGCTATCACCTCCTCGGGTCATAGATTCTCCCCCATCAGGTTTGACGACTACAACTTCACAACGGGCGAGTACAACCCTTGGCTCGCATATGGGCAGTCCAAGACTGGCAATATCTGGATGTCCAACTACATCGACCGTGTCTATGGTCCCCGCGGAGTGCACTCCGTGAGCGTCCAGCCTGGAGTCTGCACGACTCCTCTCCACGTGCACATCGACCCTGCGCAGGCTGAGACGTGGATGTCTGACCCGGCGGTTGCAGCTGGCACCAAGACTCCAGAGCAGGGCGCTGCGACGCCTACTTGGGCTGCTGTTGCGGATGTCTGGGAGGGCAAGGGCGGAAAGTATCTATTCGACGTCGCTCTCGGTGGCCCTGCAGCTCCAGAGACTACATTGGCCATGGCGGATCACGGATATGGGCCCCATGCTTTTGACGAGGAGGGAGAGAATAAGCTATGGGAGCTTAGCTTGAAGCTTACTGGTGTCAAGCTGGAACTTTAGATTTTCTTGGCATGCTTTGTATGATATAGAGGTTCTGGTTTTGTTTCATCTCTTGCGGGTTTCTTTGATAGACTGGTTTCCTACGTTCAGTAGCAAAACACTACTTTATGTTATTCAACAGTTCCACTAAGAATAGGCTCGCGGACGAAAGCGCTCCTTTGACTTACCACTCAGGTAGTTTTGATTCCAACTTACGCCGATAAAGGACATCCAAAACCCGAACTAGTCATTAATTCATTAAGCGATGTCAATTTCTCATTCATTTGTCGTGAAAAGTCTCTGAGTTGTCGGTTGAAGTGTCTCAATTGCCGACGTAGTGTCACATTGGCGTAAAGTAGCGCAGAGCAGCCGGTGGGATACCTTGTGCATGAACGTACCATTTCACGCAGGCTTTCATAAATACATACGCTTTTAATCAGAAATGAATGACTCTAGCACCTGCGTCCAATAAAAATAGCGCACGAAATATCCATGAGTTCATCACACCCAACCGTACTGAGCATTATTCGATATCTTACGAGACACCTCGAACAGACAACAATCCAGTATCCCCAACGTGCTTGCTTGAAGTGATTCGGAACCAAGACTGCTTGCGAATAATCATTTGCATTCGTCGGCCTCGGAAGCCAAAACTCGAGAAGATGCGAACCGGTCGGGTTGCTCGGCTTACGAATGCACCGGAGTCTACGGATCAGTGCCCTTGTACTTGTGCGCGTGCAACCCGGTGGGAGATGTTTAAAATGCGGGGGATTTGCCGTTCAACACTGTTCTGATTCTCTACTTCTTCTTCGCTTCATTTGGACCTCACATCATTGTTTATTCGACGTCAATTTGTGGGATGATGTGGAGCAGCCTGGCCCAACAAATGCGCCACACATTACTGTTAGGCCTCATAATGTCAGTCCTGCTCGCAGTAGAAGGCGTTGCCTCCTCGACCGCTGGTGATGTTTGTTCAGCTCTTGCTGCGACGTTACCAGCCGAGGCGTTCCTGGCGCCGAACACAACCGGATACCAAGCTGTCAAAGATAACTACTGGAGCCAAACTGCCGGCAGTCTGAGCCCGATTTGCATCACTCGTCCCAAAGACGCACAGCAGGTGGCATCCATCGTCAAGATACTGTCTGCCTCCGGCAAAGATGTCCGACTAGCCATTAAGAGCGGCGGTCATGGCTCATCGCCGGGTTGGTCAAACACCGACGGGGGCGTCCTCATCTCGCTTGACTTGATCAACGGGACCCAAAATGTGGCCGACAAAGGCCATGCTGTTGTGGGAACCGGTGCACGTTGGGTGGATGTGTACAAAACATTGGAAGCCGAGAAGGTGACAGTCATAGGGGGCCGGTTCTCAGCAATCGGTGTTGGCGGCCTTCTCGTCGGGGGCGGTCTCAGCTACTTCAGCGGGTTACACGGACTCGCATGCGACAACGTCCTCAACTATGAGGTTGTTCTTGCCGACGGAACTATCGCCAACGTCAATCAAACGTCCGAGCCTGACCTCTTCCGCGCACTCAAGGGCGGCGGTAACCAATTTGGCATTGTGACGCGCTTCACTCTCAAGACCTATCCTCTCGAGTCGCAGATATGGGGCGGCATTCTGTCCTTCTCCATCGACAAAGCCGAAGAGGTCTTCAACGCTACGCAGACCTTCAGTGCGAAGTACGACCCCAATTCACACATCTACCTCAGCATGGGAGGCGGCGCGAATCCACAGTTGTCCTTCCTCAACGTGTACGTCTTTTACAACGGCCCCTCTCCACCTGCTGGGGACGCCAGTCCCTTCGCCCCTTTCTACGCAGCCAAGCCCATGGCAGACAGCACCACCGCACAGAGTTATTCGGCCCTCATTGCATCAAATAACAATGGAAACCTGCCTCTCAAGCGCTGGCTGATCGGTGGCCACACGTTCCCGAACCTTGAGGCGCCGCATGGGGGTGGCCTTTACCTCAAGCACTGGCAGAATTTCCGTGACAAAGCCAACGCCACGGCGGCCGGGGACGTAGGACTGCTCTTCTCAATGGCACTCGTCCCAGTTCCCGCCCGCGTCATGAGCGCGGGCGAGAATGTGACGGGCGTCAAAAATGTGATGGGTCTCGAGCCAGACGCTGGCGACACTGCGTGGATCGACTACTCACTCGCATGGGGAGAGGCGAAAGACGACGCGAAGATGTTTGGGTTTGTCGAAGAAATAAGCAAGGAGGGTGATTCGATGGCGACGGCCTTTGCCCCCGGCGTGCTCAGTTCGAATGCTGTCACTGGATCTGTAGCCGTCAAGAACGCAGACTTCTATCGGACGAACCCAAGGTACATGAACTATGCACTGCTGAATCAACCTGTGCAGGCGAGTTACGGCCAGGAGAATCAAAAGTTCTTGCGGGATGTGCAGAAGCGATATGATCCGGCTGGTCTGTGGAGGCGGGACGGCGGGTTTTTATGGGATTGATGAAATTGCCTTGGTTGATTCTGTTTCCCAAGACCGTGTACGTGTAGTAAATGACCAAACTAAGTAACCAACGTTCTCAATCACCTCTCGACGAACGTTATCGCTGGTATTGCAATGTTTGTATCTTGACGTGACCACCTCCATCGCGGATCTTATGCAGTTGCAGCTACTATGGACGCTAAAGCAATCCAGTGATGGGGCTGTGTCCAGCTACGTGATCCTGCTGAGATGCAGTCAACGATACACAGGTCGCACGCTTTCAGACTTTTGCGGCTCAACGGATCGTTTCATACTCTGACGTCTATTCACTCAGACGCGGAAAGTCTAGCCAAGTATATGTGCCGCGACGCAGCCCGTTTGTATGATGGAGAAGATTACGATGCTCGCTCATTGACGGATTCCTTGATCGATGTTCTGACATGCGTTCTCGGCGAATCAAAGTTTGCTTTTCACTTGTATTCTGTATCCCGAACCCCGATGATGCCATCGAACACAGTTCACAACTTTAAAAGCCCTTCAATTGCAACCCTAAAGAGAAGTATTCCGTTGTTCTGAATGCGTGCTTCAATAAAATTTCAGTCTTACATAAATCGCGGAAAATCGAGAATTAAGGTGCGATGCATCCGTTCGACACCTGTTGGCTTCCTGGTCCAATCAGGTCGCAGAGATTTTCGTCCAGCCCCAAAAGTCCCCTGCATAGCTGCGGGAGACTTTTGGCACCCTTGAAGCCATGCAGGAGACCCTTGGCAAGCTATGCAGGAGACTTTTGCCTGTCGATATCCTCAACCTGAGGAACCAAGAAAGCCGTGATAAATAGAGCTCACATCCCGGACTGCGAGATGGGAATGTTGGTGCGCTGCGTCGGTGCTTCTTGACGGCCACCATGTTTTCCAATGACATTACTGATCCGATATTCGACCTCGAACTCGAAGAATTTCACAACAATGTCTTGCTTTCAGGCCTCTACAACACTTGGCAGGCAGGGCCCGATCTTGACAACACCGATTTTAGCACTGCCGCATCACAGATACCCACCTCCTTCACGCCTGACATGTCCTTCATCGGGGCGCAAACAAATATGAGTGACTTTGACTTCGGCCATCAGATCTCGCTCCAGCAGGACTATGTGGGTCGTTTCACGCCACAGGAAACGGCAGCCCAGAGTTTACCGGACTGGCAAGGTCTACTCGCCAACCATTTAGGATCTCACAATACTGCAGCCAACGCCAATATTTCACAACAGGGATTTACAGTCGCTCAGACCTAGGCTATGCCAATACCCCACATAACAAAGAAGCGCCCAGTATCAGCCAGCGATTGGGATGACAGGCGTGACACAATCGAATATCTCTACTCGATAGAGGGCAAGAAGTTGTCTGAGTTGGTGAGTATCATGGAGGGCGAGTATGGCTTCGTCGCTACGTAAGTCAACACTCTCCCTTTAATCAGATAGATGTCGATGAAACTCACATCCGCATGCAGACAAAGACAGTATAAGCGTCAATTAGGAAAGTGGCAAATAGAAAAGAAGGTGAAAAGAGACGAGATGAGAAAGATCCTGCAGATTCAGAAGTGCCGACGGGATCTGGATGGCAAAGAAACAGCTTTTGTTGTCAGAAATCAACCGGTAACAGAAGAGAAGATCAAACGTTTCGTGCAGCGAACACGTATTGCAGCAAGTCTACGCAGCCCTGCATGTAAGTTAAACTTGTAAGACGGCTAAGAGAGCCTGTGTCCTATTTGTATTCTGACCGCTTACAGGGCCAACTCCACATTTCATGTTGTATTACACACCGCGCGTTCGCATGCCCTCTTCGAAAAGTGCGACGCAAAGACCGACGAAAAGGCCGTCCGCCGAATCAACAAAAGGGACCGTAAGGTCGGTCAAGCCCCCCAAGGACCCTCGCGGAAAGTTGGAGCGTTGGCGCAAAAAGATCTTCGAGCGTTGGCGCAAAGGGCCCCAAGTTCCCTTCAAATTTTCCCATATCGTTTTCCGGGAGAAACGAAACGTCAACCGATGGTGCGTTGGATTGAGAAACAAAATGTGTTGGTCTTTTCCAGACACATCATCCTGCTTCTGGTGCACGCAGAATTACTCAGCCCCACCATTACCGCGGGCGCAGGCATGCAGAAAGTGTCTGCCACGCGATGAACGAAATTCTACGGTTTCGCTCGAATGGCGCGAAATAAGAGTAAGGTGGTCTACCCGCCGAAAGTCAATAAGCTGATAGGTCTGGAAATATGAGTCACGATCCCTGAAAGTTTTGTGTTTCCCGCAATGCATTCGATGTGCAAATTGTGGTGCAGATGATGCATATTTCAATGGATGCCAATCATAGAGACAGTCCCTTTTGAGCCGTAGTCGACTGGCTTCTGCGCTTCGGAACTTGGTAAATTGTGCAGAAAAAGCTCATTTCACTTTCACTCGGAAAGTCAGAACCTCCTTTCCCCTTGATAGAAGGTTAAGAACAAGAATACTAATCAACCGACGAAGCGAAAGAATTCTTTTTGGAGAGCGAGGCCCCAACATACAATCTAGCTTTCAAAATGTTGAGTAAGTGGCCTGCGCTTTTCGGCGACTCGAGCTCAACCGCAGGAATTGGTAATTTGCCACGCTCTTCTGACTGTAGTGCCGATCTGCCAGAACGTGAGAACTCACGGCATCAGAAATATGTTGGAGAACAGAACTTCAGTATACTCCCTGGCTCAAACCCTGAGTTTACGTATACGACAGACTAAAAGCAATTGGTGACCTTTAGATATGCCATATAATGACCAGGGGAAATGGGTTGGGAGTACCCACATTCAATCATTCAATGCACGATGCTGTGTGTTACACGGTGGTTTCCCTGAGCTTTGCTATGGATCCGTACTGACTAGAATTCGATCGCTATTGGCCCTGTTGTAAACCCTTAGCCATCATCCTCTGCAGCGTCCTTACGATGATTCCTCTCGTTGCGCCTACCACTTTCCTCAACGTCGTTATTCTCTTGGTGGTATTTGGCTATTCGCCTGGGTACTGTAACGGGCTAGAGCCCGGCCGAGATCTCCGGCTTTGCCGGAGCAGCTACCGAGATCCAGCTCCGCCGGATCCACTATTCTGCTGTAGCACACCGCCTAGCCCCGGTCTGCATCACTGCTGCTAGGCGCCTATCCCTGTAAAGTCCTTTCCTCCTTCTTCAGCTTAGAATAGTCAATCGACGGCACCTCTACGTTGAACAAGCCTAGGGCCAGCCCCTTACAGGTACACGTACTTCATTATCTGTACATAATAATCAACACTCATTGAAATTGTCTGCTCGCTCAGCACAGCACAGCACACGCCGTGGTTGAAATGATGACACATTTAAGAATCTCACCCGAAGTCAAAATAGCAAGAAAAACGAATAACGAAATGTTGACAATCCGACTTTTTCCATCAAAGTTCTTTTACATAACTATTGGCTCCCCGAGTGTCACGAGGACCGGCTACTCGCAGACATATCACCAAGGATGACTCCGCTGACTAGCCATATACGGGCATAAGAGGCATAGCGCGTACGGCGGCGGATATTAATACCGGTCGTGTTCGCTCTCCGATTGATAGCAACACCTGATTCACTTGTTGGTGGCCGAAAACAAGTGAGGAGAAACAACAAGTTCCTTACAATTGACCAATACCACAGAACACCGTTGCACGCGTATCTTGAGGGCTATAGGCCATTGAATATGACCATGGTTGTTCTCTTCCACAGGCAGTGAACTGGTAGTCTCACCGCAAAACAATGACCATCGTGAGAAAAAGCCCGCGTGCCGGTAAGTTCTCTTGAAAGAAAGGTCCAGCACCTTAGCTGACACGAGCGTAGTGTGTTACACGTGTGAGACACGTAGGATTCGTTGCCGTAAGGCCAATTCAACACCATACACAGAAGCGGATAAGCCTTCGACATGCCTCAATTGCGAACGGCTGGGATTTCAATGCCAATGGAGGGCATCAGAGCCTGGCGAGGATTATGATCCACCACCAAAACGAAGGCGGACGATTGATCAACGTCGACAGAAATCGCGAGCCGCAGAGAACGGACCTCCGTCTTCAGTTGATCCCTCGTCAGGTGCGACCGAAGCGAGCAATGAGAACATTACACCAGTGTCTAAGCAGCCGACACCGACAATCACACGAGATAGCCCCTCAGAAGATGTTGACCATGCGTCTCGTCAGTCTACTGGCACACCGAATAGTCATCCCGCCACTCTTGGGTTGGATATCAGCTTCGAGACCAGCTACTTCGGTTTCGATCTCGCAGGCGAGAGCTTCGATGATTTCTTCCCTTTCCCAACTATCGATAATCCTCTTGGGGGCTTGGCAGATTCGACAAGCGTTGGCTCAGCTGCCGTTTGGCAGTCTGGGGCAGATAGTTCCAGCGCTCTTGGTGCTGAGTCTTCTGTTAAGGGCCGTGGCGACGTGTCAGACGTCATCAACGACGACAACCGCCACTTGATCCAACATTATCTGGAGGTTATCAAGGGCTACTCCAAGGTAGACGACCGCACGAAAGAGTCCAGCAATCTATTCGTCTCGGCATTCACGCAGTCGCTGACATTTCCACCTCTTCTCTACGCTATACTCGCCTTTTCGGCCTCCCACCTCTCAATCAATGACCCAACTTATTGCGACGGAGCCTCCAGGTTCAACCAGCTGGCCGAGGAAACCTTTTGTCAATACAGAAAGACTAATGCAAAAGAGATTGCAAGTCTTCTCTCAGCCCTCTTTATCCGGATCAAACAACTTCATGTGATGGGTGGCAGCATCGACGCTCTCTTCGATCTCATAACGGAGATTGTCGAGATCGTATCGACCAAAGAATGTGAAAGGGCGCTAGCTGACCCAAATAGTCTCGTCCGAAGAATAGTCCTTCGTCTCGCTCTTCTAGACGCGCGCGGCACATGCTTTAGATTGGGGAGTGGTAAGCTTGTGAGAGCTCTCGAAAGAATGCCTGCTTTGTCGTTTCTGTTCCCCTTCAACACCTCCGTCGTCTCTACTCCGTCTTATAGCCTACTTCGAGCAAACATTTCCGTCACAGAATTGGCGAGATTGATGCTAGAATCCACGATCAACTCGAGGCAGAGTTCGCCAGTAGCGCGCCTGTAAGAACTGCGGAGATCAAGTTACTGTATGAGAGCATTCGGAGGGAGCTTGAGCGCTGCGATCGTGATAGGCCTCAGTCGACGGGAGCCCAGGCTTCTGACATCATGACGAATGAGGTTCTCGGCACAGCCGAGTATAACTATCACATAATTTCATCAGCTCTGCACTCGGCCATTTTGTACCTCTCACAAATCTACGTAAGTCAACTCTTATGTTCCCTTGGATGAGTCCGTTCTCACGCGGTGCAGCCGATGCCAATCTTTGACGTAAACCAATCAATATCCAAAATCCTCCAGCATCAACTCAGGATCCAACACGACCCATCGCGAGCCAACTCACCGCCGTCCATCCTGCCTTCATCGATGTTCTTGGCCGGCTTGTCTACCACGGACCCTATACACCGTGACTGGGTTATCAAAACGTTGCGGGAGGCAGAACCTTGGGGTATATATATCAAGAAGATTAGATTGCTTCTGGAGGCAATTCACACTTTGCAAGCTGGCGGAAAAAGGGTTGATGTTCGTGACGCCATGGATCAGGTCAGTGGTAGGTTCCTGATGTAAGTCACGTTTAGAGTAAGGTGTGTAAAAGATGATTTCAACTTTCGCACAGACTTTGCGGCATAATCAACAACCCTGCATATCAACAGGCAGTTCCAGTCTTAACGGTATCCAACAGGTGGCTTCTTGTTGGTCGTGAAACTGTTCCTCCATATTGAGACGGCCTCAATACCTTGTTGAGAATGGGTGCTTGTCACACAAAGGTCGACTCTCTTCGCAATCTGGGAGGTGTTGGTACATATGTCGGAGTAGCCAATCTGAGAGTCTTTCGTATTCCTCGGTAAAATACTGTTGGACAGTGAACATAATCCCGACGCCGCCTGCGACTGTCGTTCAATCGCGACCAAACACCAGGGACCTTCAGCAGTTGATAGGTCATTTTAGTGTCAAGTTATCCATCCAGCTCGCATGATCTCTCCTATCGCTTACGTATAACATCTCTGTCACCGAGCGGTCTTCGATGATATGTGGTTCTCATGTGACACATCGGATGCAAGAATGTGATGTCATCTCGACCTCAGATCTACGTGCCCCCGAGAGAACAATTACTTAAGACAGCAGTTGTAAGACGGCCGAAGAGGCAAAAACAGAGACCATTATCTGTATTTCAAACACCAGAAAATCCAAAGCAGGAGAATTGTTGAAGTGCCCCATAGCCCCGAACCCCAATCATGGCCTCCGGCGTTGCATCCCGATTAGCCAGTCGATCGGCACTCCGACCGGCCGCATCCGCTCTCCGCACGGCATCAGCGATCTCCACACCGCTTGCCCGGTCTTTCACGGCATCGACCCCAGCAGCCTCCACAGCCGTCGCGCGACCGAAGGTCATGCTCGAAGATGAGAACGGCTACGGCTTCATCAGGCACAACCCGCGGGACCCTAAACCTCGCACCAAGTCGGTGACGGAGATCCGAGGTCCTTACTACTCTGTCATGGGCAAGCGGTATCTCGAAGATGTTCTCGAGACGTGAGTGCACACCTATTTTACCCCATGAAGCTCCTGTATCTCACACTAGCTCCCAGGATGGGTCACTATGTAGATGGCCTCAAATTCGCTGGCGGCTCCTTCTCCCTATTCCCAGAGGACAAACTCAAGGAACTAATCGATCTCGCCCACCACCACGACGTCTACGTCTCCACGGTGCGTACCATCTCACTCCTGAAATACCCTAGCGGGACAAAACAAGAAAACTTGACCTAACAAATCCACCAGGGCGGCTGGATCGAGCACGTCCTAACCCAATCCGCGCCCCTAACCGCCGTCGATCGCTACCTCGAAACCTGCAAGCGCCTCGGCTTCGACGTCATCGAGCTCTCCACCGGCTTCCTCTCCCTCCCGCCGTCCGACTGGCTGCGCCTCGTCGAGCGCGTGCAGTCCTTCAACCTCGCCCCCAAGCCCGAGATCGGGATCCAGTTCGGCGCCGGCGGCGACACTTCATCCGCCGGCCTCGAGAGCATGGGCAGCCAGTCCGACCCGTCCAAGGTCGTCGACCTCGGCAAGCGCTTCATCGACATGGGCGTCGAGCGCATCATGATCGAGAGCGAGGGCATCACCGAGAACGTCACGTCCTGGCGGACGGACGTGATACAGAAGATCCTGCGCGACCTGCCGATGGAGAAGGTCATGTTCGAGGCGGCGGACCCGGCGGTGTTTAACTGGTATGTGAGGGAGTTTGGGGTTGATGTGAATCTGTTCGTGGATCACTCGCAGATTGTGCAGTTGAGCGGGCTGAGGGCTGGGATTTGGGGAATGGCGGATACGTTTGGGAAGATTACTACTTTCCGATGAACAAATTCCAGTCTGGAAGGTTTCTTGTCAAATACTCTGCCATGTTAAGCAAGTTTCACAGTGAGAGATTTCACAGCAGCGTTCTCCGATGATACTGCCGTAGAAATTTAATTGAGGGTATTTTGGCGCTACTTAAGGCTGCCTGAAGGCTTGCTGCCAGTCCAAGGTATTACCTCAGACTCGGCTCACCACAATCCGAATGATGCGGGCCGCTCGCGACCGCACATGCGTTTGACTTTCGAAACCGAAGCTGAGGAAATAAAGCCGTTCACGATGTTGAACTTGTAGACGGCAAAAACGAGCCGTTCCTCCATCGTGTGCGCATATCGAAACCAACGAGTCCACGCGGCCGTCGACTGGTGATAGTTTCAACCCCTAAAATGCCCCCGCCTTGCACTCCTCCACCTGAGATTCCCATCATACAAAATTTGGCGCTCAAAATCAATATGAATGAGTGCAATAAGCATACGCGTTCACGCCCATCAAAACTTCCATCCGGCACGCCTCTCCCGAGCCCGGTGCGGTATCGCTAACCACACCAAAAGGCCTCGTCATCACGCCTCCCCTTCCCGTTCCGTGTTATCCGGCGCCTCACCCGACCACTCGGCCCCGAACGCCGCCTCCCGCACATCCGTCGACCGGCCAGGCTCCCACAAAGTGAACCCCGGTCCCGACTCGGCCAACCCCAAACCCCCTTTTCCTCCCTTTCTCCATCGTAGAGAAGTTCCAGACGCGCATCGCACAGAAATCTAGACCTGTTCCATGCTCCAACCTCCAGCGGAGCCGCCTCGCTCACTCCAAACAACCCACACCTCGGCATATCACGATCTCATCTGCACACCCTTCGCCGCAATACAACAGAAACATCCCCCTCAGGGTCTCACAATCGTTCGAGACGGTGGACTCCCGTTACATACAAACCCTTTCCAGTGGCTCCCCCCGTAGGAAAAAAGCCCAGGACGGAGCCAAAGGACCTGCGCTCAGGGGCTAAAATCAGGCCAAGCTTTTTTGGTCCGCCGCTGTACTTGGCGCACTTGCCCCGGGGGGAAGGGGGGGGGGGACAAGAAAGAAAAGTCGCGACGTCAGGTACAATGACGTAGCGACCAGATGAACAAGAGAGAAATTGTAGAAAAAAACGCGAAAAAAAGGCCCAAATAGGACCACAAACATGGCACCTTGGGCCCCCAATCCGACCTAATATCTTGCGATCGAATCATGCCCGCCAATAGGAACCCGTCGGAGCATCTAACCGGGGCAAGCCTCCGTCACCTTGCAAATTGGAATCAAAATGAGCCGCCGTTTTACTACCACTACACCAAAAGAAAATCTAATCAATCACAAACAGCCGTCCACATTGAAACAAACCCTCCCAAAAAGATCATCATCATCCAACCCTCAATCCTCCCGATTCGCCCCCGGATCCATCATCCTTCCCCTCTAGTGAAGAAAAGAACATTCTTCCAAGAATCCAGTCCCCAAATCCCGCGTATTGCTTGCTTTTCCTTCAAGAGTGGGACCCCGGACCACCGTTGCGAGATTGTCACATTCGAGTTTATTCAAATAGAGTTGGGCAACGTCCCCACCCTCATCCAACTTCAGATAAATTACCACACCTTGGCCACCGCAACAGGGGACCGTCCGTTTGTCAAAAGCCCGCACAGTCTGCGACGGGGGCGTGACGCGCAATCACCCCGCGGCAGGCCAGAGTGGATTTGCTTACCCGGGGGTCAAATACTGGGTTTCTATGTAAAGAACTAGTTTCCACCCCTAATATTACTAATAACTCTATAACCTTAGCCCTAAAATAGGTTTTTTATAGCTTATAATTATCTTTAAAAAATCGCAAAAATTCCTATATAGGTATTATATATATATTAGAGTTACTTAAATGTTTATAAACTTAGTTAATATAGAGCTTAATTATAAGAGATCTATAACTTTAACTCTGATTCTAAATAAGTAGATAATTAGAAAGATTTTTACCTAAATTTGCTATATATTATACTAGTTTATATAGCTTATTAATAATTCAATATTATATTAATATTTAAGTTTTTTTTAGCTTTTTTAAAGATTTTATTTTTCTTAAGAATTTCTTAGAAAAAATAAATTCTTAGAAAAAATTTATTATTAATAGTATGTTTATTTAATTTATTAGAAAGTACTATAATCTATATATATAAATATATAAAGTAAGAATTCTTTTAAAACTTTATAATAGAGACTTTTAAAATTAAAGTTATAGTTATATATAAAAAAGAAAACATATTTCTACTAATAATGAAAAACGCTTATATATATAGCTATATACTATATCTAACTATTTTAACTATATTAGAATTTTTGCGATTTTTTAAACTTAATTATAAGCTATGTTAATCTAATTTTAGAATTAGGGTTATAGAGTTATTAACGATAACCTTAGTAGAAACTAGTTTCTTACATAGAAACCCAGTATTTTCGCCCCCTACGTGAGTAGGGGGAGTTTTGCGCTTGACGTGGCTGACTAACGCCCCCGGGTAGGCTCGGCGAGAGAATTGCCGACGGGAGATCCTCGTCGAGCTGGCTCGTTGGTTGCTGACTGAGCTGTATTGACGGATGCGAAAAAAATATATGGTTTTTACGGCTTATCTTGGTTGGTGATGGCTTCACGTACGTCGTTAGTCACAATCGTTCTTCATCACTTTCAAAAGTCCGTGGTCAAAGTATTTAGAACACACAAGTTGGGTATATTTATCCCAGTATCAGCGAAAGCTTTCCTGCTCTACCTCTCGGCAGTTTTTGTGTAAAGGCCAGAATTACAAAGGTGGCTAGACCCAAAATGTTTCTCCAGCATGGGGAAGTGAAAGCGAATGGTCTAGGGAATCCAAAAGTCGGTTCCCTAGACATGAAGAAATAATAATGTACGCCGCCCATTGCCCGTTGCCCTTTCCTGAACGCCTTACTGTGCAGCATAGTACTCATTTAATGTACGTGCGGCCGTGAATGCTTGTAAACATGCAAAGCATCTCCCATGTCGCTCCCGACTCCGCTTCTCTTGATCCGTATGCAGTGACTCCACGCGAGCTAGAGCTCAGATGACGAGTCCCTTGCCGATGCCCTGCACTGTGAAGCCCAGCTTCTCAAGCTCGGGTCCGGAGACGACGTTACGTCCGTCAAGCACAAGGCGAGGGCGCTTCATGACAGAGGCGGTCCACTCCCAGTCGATGGGGTCGCCGAGGTCTTCGCTCGCGGCGTCGAAGTTGCAGCCCTTGCAGTTTTCGGGGCAGGCGTTCTCGGGCTTCATACGCTTGAGGGGGTCGACCGGGGTGTGCGAGGCTCCGCGAGAGACGAACTTCTCAAGCTCGACGACGTCCATCTCAGACAAGGGCGCCTCCTTGATGAAGGTAGCAGCCTCCTCCTTGGAAGCCTCGTTGCTGCTCCACATGGAAGAGCGGCGAGCAGAAGCCTGAGCCTTCTTGGGGTAGCGGAAGTGGTACCAAGGGGTCAGAATGCACATGGCACTGGAGCCGTGGACAGTCTCGCGCCACGTGGAACGGACCTTGACGCGATCCAGAACGCGCTGGTCCTTGATAGAGTGGCGAACCTCATCCATGACCTCGACGGGGTCACAACCGGGGTCGAAGATGGCGATCTCGCTGGGCATCTCGTGGGCGAGCTCCGCAATGATGTGGACAGCAATGCTGTTGCGCGTGTCGTTGGTGTTCTCCTTGAAGGCGAAACCAAGAATGGCGACCTTCTTGCCGCGGAGGTTGCCGTTCAGAGCGCGGTGGACCTTCTGAGCGAAGCGCTCGCGCTGGTACTTGTTTATATCAAGGACGCCCATCCAGTAGTCGGCAACGGTGTCCAAGTGAAGAGTGCGAGCCATGTAGGTCAAGTTGAGGATATCCTTCTCAAAGCAAGAGCCACCAAAACCGACACCAGCGTGGAGGAACTTCTTGCCCAGGCGAGAGTCAGCGCCAATACCCTGGCTGATCTCCGAGACATCGGCACCGAGCTCTTCGCAAAGGGCGCTGATGCTATTGATGCTGCTGATACGCTGAGCCAGCATGGCGTTGGCAACCAGCTTCGTCAGCTCGCTGGACCAGGTGTTCACGGTCAGAATCTTGGACTCGGGAACCCAGGAAGCGTAGACGCCCTTCAGAGCGTTGGCAGCACGAATGCCAGCAGGAGTCGTAGAGCTGCCGATGAGCATGCGGTCGGGGTGCATGAGGTCGCGAACGGCCGTTCCCTCGGCAAGGAACTCCGGGTTGGAGACAATCTCGAATTCGGCATCGGGCTGGTATTGGGCCATCTGTTCCGGAATTAGTCACTGCCCCAAACTTTCCTGCATCGTGCTCCCTTGCGGCTCTGTCCCGAGAACCCGGCTTGTGGGGGGAAATCCGAGTGCTGTGCCGCAAGGGGCTGACTGGCGCCCATTACGATCGCACGTGGGAAAAGCAACTTGCTCATGTCGTCACCGGTGTACTTACAATCTCCTTGATCATGCGGGCAGTTCCCGTAGGAACGGTGCTCTTCTCGACAATGACAGCGCCGGGTCTAGCGTACTTGGCCACAGTCTCGCTGGCGCCCTCGAGAGCGCTCAGATCGGCGGTGTAGCCAGCTCCGAGACCATAGGTCTTGGTAGGCGTGTTGACGCAAATGAGGACAATGTCGGCCTCACCAATGCAGCGCTGAACGTCGGTGGTGAAAACAAGGTTGGGCTTGCGGGAGCCGAGCTTGAGGGACTTGCCAATGGCGGGGAGGAAGGCGGTCGTCTCGTTGGTGCCATCGCGGGCAATGCGAACAATCTTCGGGAGGCCGGCCTCGTGAATGGGAAGGTGAGGAGAGTTCCACGCAGCAATGCGGTCGGAGTTGAGGTCGACGACGTTGACAGTCAGGTCGGGGTTGTGGAGAGCTACCAGAGCAGCAGTTGGGCCACCTGCGAATGTGGTTAGCTCGATCTTGACTCAGTCAAATACGAGTTGTCGTTTTGACGACGTGGAAGCGGCTGCGTGTGT